AGCGGTTTGGTTTCACAGATTTTGATGGGTTTAAAGCCCAAACGCGGCTCAAACCAAACACGGCCCACTAGCTGTCGGTATTTCGTTTCGATAGTTATTTACGAAATTGTCCAATCTTGTATTCTCATGCTCCGTTTTGTTACAATAGATATTCCATCGTTCTATCGTTCGGTTTCATAATTTTAAATACAAAATATACAAATATCTAACAAAATTTTAAAATTTTGTATATTTAAAAATATAATCGTCCTATGAGTGTTTTTTTTTACGTTATGTATCATAAATATTGCTCCTACATATTTTCGCTCTCTCTCCGTATTTTGAAAGTTTGAACATTTTTTACGAGAAGCGGGTTCCAAAAAAGATGAGAACGAAAACGAGTGCAACAAATGTCCAAAAAAATTTCATAATTTTTGTCCAGCAAATAGTTATTAATGCGAACGTCCAAAAAAGGCAAAAAATTTGAATGGATTTATACATTATCTCTAATTCAATGGTTATGGTTTGGATACACACAAATTTACATAAACCATACATTGTATACAATTTACAGGCTAGCAACCATATATATTCCCCAACGCCACCAACCCACCAAAATTAGAATCTGTCCAATCACAAATGCAATATTACGCTCTTAATTCAATATTTTCCCGTATCTCTCGCCCGATACGACGACGTTTCCATGCCCCATGGATCCAGTACCCGCTCTAAACACCGCAGTGTGAACACTAGTTGTGATAAAAAGATACCTTATCTGGATAACCCTTTCAGTACGTGACATTTGTATGAAATGCTTTAATTTACAAAATTAAAAAATCTTGCAATGAAACTGTATATGATAAAAAATGTAACGTAAATCTCATGCAAATGTGTAAAATGTGGCCCCAAAACGTTGCATGAACCCAACCCTAATTTTTTTTTCGGTGCCTGCGAAGCCCTGTGACATTTTTTTTTTATAAAGTTGGCGGAAATTTTATAACCCGGGGTGGGCCCGAATAAGGAATAACAATATGAAAATAAATAATTAGGATTTACACGAAGATTAATTGCTGTAATTAAATCTGTCATGAGACAGTAGAACACGGCTCTCGGTATTTGCACCCCTTCGACTCTATATAAGAGCCCCCGAAACCACAACACAAACCACCCCAAAATGACGAGGAAGAAGGTGAAGTTGGCTTACATATCCAACGACTCCTCGAGGAAAGCAACGTTCAAGAAGAGGAAGAAGGGTCTCATGAAGAAAGTGAACGAGCTCAGCACGCTCTGCGGGATCAACGCCTGCGCCATCGTCTACAGCCCGTATGATGCGACGCCGGACGTGTGGCCGTCGCCGGCCGGAGTCCAACGTGTCGTGTCGGAGTTTCGGATGCTGCCGGAGATGGACCAGAGCAAGAAGATGGTGAACATGGAGAGCTTTATCCGGCAGCGAATCTCCAAGGCCACCGACCACCTCAAGCGGCAGAGGAAAGACAACCGGGAGAAGGAGATGACCGAGGTCATGTTCCAGTGTCTCATCGGGAACATGGGCATGTTCCATCTCAATCTCATGGATCTCAACGATCTCGGCTTTCTCATCGATCAGTACGGCAAGGACGTGAATCGCCGGATCGAGATTCTGAAGAAATCGTCTGGGAATCCTGAGCTAGTCGTCGGAGAATCCTCCTCCGCCGCCGTTGCTGCGCTGCTGTATCCGCTGCCGATACAATGACTGTTACCTCGGCGATGACCTTGCCGCCTCCGACGGATGTGGGGTCCTCCTCCTCCGTCGCCGTGAACCCGTTTCATCAGTATCTTAATCCGACGGCGGGGATGTACGACCAGACGATGATGGGTGCGGATCCGACGGTGCCGAGGCACCAACACCAATGGTACATGGAGCTGATGAATCACCCCGAGCAGATGGGTTTTGTGGCGGAGGAGATTGGTTTTCCGTTCATGGACGAGAGCCACAACCACCACAACGCCGCCGCAGCCGCCGCATCTGCCCCTCCGGCGACTGTGACAACCACCGTCACCTCCTCCGCGGGTCCCTCCGCCGGTAACTTCTGGTCCGGTGGGTTTTTTCAGTGAAGTGATTGGCTCTAAGTCATATGTGTTGATGATCAGTGTGTAATGTTGCATGCGGCAATGCAAGAACCTTTTTTTTAGGCGTCTTTGTTTCAGAAAAAAAAAAGTGTAGGCGTCGTATCGAATTAATGTAATAAGCATTGCCTTTAATTTTCGTTATCTGTCGTTCGTTGTTGTTGTGATTGTGGGTTTTAATGTATTGGATTGTGTCTTTCTCTTTTATATTTTATGTTATTCGCTTAAATAGTTCATCGGATTTTCTAGAAATCAACTACGGATATGAAGTTAATGAAATTGTAAGATACAACGCTAAAGTTATAGAATATATCATTCCAAATGAAAATAAACTCCATTCAATAACCACATAACCGTTGTCTACGAAACATTGGTATATAATGTAATGTATGCGACAAAACTATATTCCAAGTGATGGAAGAGTTTGTTTGTTCGGTGTAAGACAGAAGAGGCTCTAATTCACGCTTTAGTTAATTGAAATCCGCCATTGTCGAATCTGTAACCTTTCTCAAATAGATGATATTGTATTTTCTCTCAAAATCATTATTAATAAAAATAAGTTTATTTCGAAATGTAGAATGATTGCATCAAATCTCAATTTATAAAATCTAGAGAAATATTTTTTTTTCCATTTTTTATGTTCATCTAAAGTTTTTGATAATTAAACGAAAAATACCGAGTATTTTTTCGTTTCTTAAACATCACGTAACGAAGGCTAATTTAGCGTTTCTTAAAAGTTACGGAATTATACGCGGCAAATAAAACATACTAAAATTTAAAAGTTTAAATTACGCGCGAAAGAAACTAAAATTTAAAATTGAAAAATCTAAACCGGTCCGAGTGAAATAAAATTTAAATAAAGTAAAGAAATAAAAAATATTTGTTTTCATAAAGCATAAATTATTTTAAATTTCATTTAATATAATAAATTTACGGAATTTTGAAAATTCGAAATACATCGATCAAAACAACATAAATCGTTTTATACAACAATTCGTCCTTCTATTTAGTTTTGTTTTTAACTTAGTCTAATTTATACTTGTTTCTCATAAAGCAACAAAAATATATTGTTTGAATAAAATCATTCATCAAATATTTTAATTTGCCACTAAATTTATTTATCACAAAATTAATAAGAATATTTTAGGATAAATTGATAAACAATTTATTTTTATTTTATCTTTATAAAGTAAGAAAACATTCTATAAGAGGATTAACAGCCATATATATACATAGAAAAGTTTTCATCGCCATGATAATAACGTCATGATTAGAAGAATATCTAGTAGAAAAAGACAAAAAGGGAAAATTGATAATGCATTATAATTACACACAGAAATGCCTTTAAATGAGTCCATGGTGATGATGATAATGATGACGATGATGATGATGTGTTTATATTATTGACATTGTACATGATAAGAGGAAGGAAACTGAGAATCTAATTCTAATAATATAGAGAGAAAAAACATGTATTGTGTATATATCGGATTTGTATAATTCTTTTTATTCCGCCCCACGACTTATATATAATCTTTTAGTCTATTTTGAAAACAAATCGTCTCAAGGGCCCAAATAAAAAAAAATGGGTTTGGCCTACACGGCATATATTTCCAAACAAATTCCATATATAGTTTTAACACTTCCAAATGTTAAAATGGGGTATTATAAAAAAAATAATACTCTTATTTTGTTATATAGATTTTATATTATATCATTTATGTGTGATCATCGTAATATATATCATGGTCATATTGATTGCACCGTTAAAATTATATGATGATTATACTAATAATACTGATCATACCATTCAAAATTTATATAGTGGTCATACTGATTATATTGGTCATATAAAAAAATAAAAAAAGGTATGGTTTGAAGTACACATAGCACAACAAAGATCATTTGACATAATACCTATTAACACTATATATGAAAATTAGGTCTCCTTTGTTTTTCTATAAAAAAAATATATATAATAATTCCAACCCATGCATAGCGATCATTAAGATTTAGTGATTTTAATTTTCATTGCAAAGTATAATAAATTTCCACCCTCTTTCTTGTTAACGAATCTAGGGGTCTTGCACAAATTTCCTTTATTCCTACTCTTTGGCGGTCAGTTCGTGTGTGTATATATATATATATGCAATTGTTATATTGATCAATGATCATTCTGAAAGTGTATATAGAGAAAATAGATGCCCCTACAAGAGAAATGGAGGGATGGAAGGATAGAGAGAGATTTGACTGGTTGGTGGTTATAATCTAAAGTTCATGAAATTTGAATTCGAGTGTTGTGTAATGTCTAATCCAATTTGACAGAAACATTTGGAAAAAGGTCTCTCTAAGCGAAATCATTACACTCAAACACAACACACTAAGTGTCTTTCGTTTTCTTGAAGCTTTAAAAGTACATATATATAAGTTATAACCGTACTGTTACAGAATCTTGGACCGGATACGGAGATTAGGAAAAAAAATATCTTAGAAATCTTCACAAACTTTGCTAACCTCAATCATAGAGGATGATCTTATACGTTCTGTCTTCTTTTTTTTTCTAAAGATGGTATAGGATTTTTTTTGAATACCAACAAAAGATGTTAGGACACGGGGGTTTTTTTTTTTTTTTTTTTTTGCTTTGAAAAAAACTTTTTCGCATAATAATATCCAAACATCTGGCTAATTATAAAAGTGCCGTTGTGGACGATCGAGGTCTTTGGGGAGGACATGCGATATGGTATCGCATAAATAATAATCTTTATTACAGACATATATACACACATATCTATATATATATGCCGTCAATTATCATCAATTCACCATGCATCGTATACGTTACTACCATATCTCTTCGGCTATCTTTTCGATAAATTGAGTATTCACGACCTACATATATACACACATTCCAATTTGGAAGATGTTATATATATATATATGTATATATATATATATGTGTACATATTATTACATCAGAAAACACATGTAATGTTGTTGTTACGCACAAGCACAGTCTCGTCGTGCACATAAAATTCCTTGAGGAATAATTAAAAAAAATTGCGAGGATTAATTGTTATGCAGATCTTCCATTAATTATGATTCATGATCAACACTAATTATGTGATTTTTTTCATTAATTAGTGTAACAGATTAGGATCTCTTGGTAGTTAATTTTCAAGATTTTGCAAGACCCAAGCTAGTTAACATGGGTTCCCAACTAGGTGATTACGCAAACTAAGTGATTAGTGAGCGTTGGTATCGAGCACACACTAGCTATATATATATATATATGCAAACCAATTGCAAAACTATGTTACATGAAATACAATGGATCCACCTCAAATTAATATTTCTCATTCTAAAACTAAAGAATTGAAGCATATGATTCTATATAATTACTTTATAATGGTTGAGTTTCCTAACCGACAATCTATCGTTGCTATTGGAAAATAATTCAACAAATCAAGAAGCCATATGCATGTTTATTAATTGTGATCGCATATCGCAAAAGGGTCGGTCCAATTGGACCGGGAAATATATATCAACTCGGAATATTTCGACTTTAGCAACTCTCGATAACATGTCAATTAAATTTTCTTGTTTGGTGTTTCTCTTTTATTTCTATGCGAATCGATGTTCACGATACATTCGCTGCTCATTTTCCATGCTGAGAAATCATGGGATTTAATGTTTTTTTTTTGAGTGCACATGCATACATGTAAATAGATGGTACCCAAGTAAAGCAATCTACAAATTAAAGAAAATAAAAAGAAGCAATTCAAGGGTGAGATTTTTTTTTTTCTAAAGCAATAAAACAAATTAATCAAATCGAGATTCTGCAAGTAAGAGAGGGTGAACGTAAAATGCAAAAAGAGTTCGAATTATAGCCTCAATATTGGCTTTTTATGATTCTTCTTAACTCTCTTTTTAGTGAATAGAAGAAACCTGAGGCTATTATTCAACACGTACGGTGTTATTGCAAAGCAAACCTTGGAAAATGTATATCGAATCATTTTAATACATATCGAATACCCAAACTTGGTTAGTTATCTGCAAACCGGGAGGCAAAACGTTTGTCCCGTCACTAATTTGAACCTAAAGTTTGAGGGGGGATGTACAATCTAAATCACATGGACGGTCTCCGGTCCCGAGATTATTATGGGCTTTGGTATATATAACATTCGGCTACCCAAAAAAAATACATATAGAAGCTAGTGCTATAATACATGGATTTTGTAATTTGTATGTTGTTAATTAGTATTGTAATATCAATCATATAATATATATATATATATATAGTACAAAAGATGAATTACGGGTAAATTTGTAAGTGTCTAATGAGTGTGGAGATTGTATTGTTGGAGAGGCGAGAAGAGCAAGAAAAAGTTAAAAAGGACGAGGGACAGAGGAAGAAAAAGCGGGCGAATAAATGTACTCTAAATGTACCTTTGTCGAATAATTATTTTGTGTTCTTGGAAAGAAAAACCACGACCTCCCTTCATGCGCAAAAAATATCGCAGCTTCCAGATTCTACAGCTGTATCCAAATCTAATATACATATATCAATTTGAATCCTTCATCTTTTTACTCCGTACCTTTGGTAAAACCGTAACAAAGTTAAAACAAATAACCAAGGAGTTTAAACGATGGATATATGCGATGTCCATGAGCATTAATTAGCAGTCATCATATATAATTGCAGACGATGTTGAAAACTGCCTTATTTTGTTAATATTAAGCCTTTTTTTTAAATGCAGATACCCTTTTTGAACGTTAACGAAACCGCGTATTGGAAATTTCATGCCATGAGAGACCTCTCTCTTTTTCCAGGGAGAAAGATTCGTACTCGGTCGGTCCATTGTATGCTTGTTTTTGTTTTTTATCCAGAAAGAAACGTAAACAATGTCATATCTTATGAAAATAAGTATGTTACGATGGCATAAACATATGTAGCGGGAAATGATGGACCGACGATTATACGTCCAAGATTGAGGAAAATATATATACAAACAGCGTTTTTATACGAATCTCTTTATTTTGACATAATAGTCCACACAAACTACAGGGAGCAAGAAGAGGAAGAAGAATGAGAGAAATCAAGAATAAGAGGAAAAAAAAGATGTAGTGGACTAATTTTCTAGACAGAATCAACAAATTTTTTTCTTTTATGGCAACACTTGTCTGAAAAAGATCCGAGGAGACAAACTATACAACGATTTTTAGAGAGATATATGTTTCAATCTTCGGTCCTCCTCATGCCCTTTCGGATTGGTAGGGGGGAAGGGTCTGGCGTTCCGATTCCGAGACCCTAGTGGCATGAAACTTGGCTATAAAGGCGGAGGCTTTCCGGTCGATGCCTGGCTCGGCCACCCAGTAGCGCTTGTCCTCGTCGCTGGCCCATGCCTTGCGGGTGTAAACGACGTCGTCCCACGAGTCGTGCTCGACTCGGTGAGACCTTCGCGGTTTGAAGAAGCTCAGGAGAGAGAAGGACGATCTCTTGCTGTGTGATCTGTTGTTGTTTCCTCCCATTTCTTTCTCCTGCAGTGTTCTTGCTTTTGATACCTTGTCTAGGGTTTTTTTTTTGGTTTAGGACAAAACACAGGAAGAAGAGGGAGTGTTTGAGTGTGAAGAGATATGTTCACGAGCTTCTTGTTGCTGTTCTCCTCTTGGTGCCAAGTGGGGGGCTGTATTTATAGGGGAAAATGACTCCCATTTTTTTTCTTTTCAGTTTTTTTTTTATAAAATTTTTTGTGGAAAATTATGATTTAACATCCGGAATTTTTATAACAGTATGATTTATTTGTGGAAAAATATTATTTTTCACACGTATACTGACTTTTTTCGAGAGTGGAAATTTGAAAATTAAAGATTTGTTTTATGAATTGTTATTCTTTAATTAATGTTACATATTATGTGTGTGTGTGTGCATACCAAAAAAAATCTACGTGTAATTTTTTATTTAAAAATTATTTTGTAAATATGTCACAGAGAAATCGAGAGCGAGACTAACTGCGTGGTCGATTTGTTTACGATATGCATGGAGAGTCATCATCGACAAGATAGACAACAAATTTGTTCTCTGATGGGAAACAATATTTATCTGCACGGATATGAATAATTAACGAGAACAATCAATTCATTTAACCAATAATTATTATATAAACCCGGATTAACAAAAATCAATATGGATGATATATATAATATCCAAAATAAAATTATAACGGCGATTATGTTTTTTTAACAAAAAAAAAAAAAGACAGGCGGTAGGTATGTAGTATATCGTAGAAATTTCGGAAATCGAGATCTAGAAGATGGATTAGAGAAATGATTAATTGATGATTAAGGCATTGAAAGTCTTCTGAAATAAAAAGGTGGCAAAAGTTAGGCAAGAGTAGTTAAGATTGGTGAGCGGAAAAAAAAAAAGAGAGTGTTTGGATGTTCCAATAAAACATGTTTTTTTAATAAAAAAAATTGAGAGAGGAAAAAGAAAAGACCAAACAAAAAAACAGAACTTGGATGCCTAACCAATGCTTTTTTTTTTGCGTGTGTTGTCAATTAAAATAATAATAATTAAAAAAAAAAAAACAAAGACAGACCCAGACACATGATGAGCTTTTGCCTTTCCTTTGTTAATGTTTTATATTTTGCAAGAGCGATATGCCGATTTGGTGATCTCTTTTGCTCTCCACGTGTCTCCATCTCGTGACCTTTCATCTTTTTTTCTCTCAAGATTCCTTTCCACGAGATGGTATGATCGAATTCATGTCTATATCAAACGATTTAACGTTCACCTAGGTTTTATTTTATTTTAGTCTCAATTTTTCAAAAAATAACTAAATCGGTGTATGCCCCCCAAAAAATGTCTTGTTGATATATACGAATAAATAATTACAAAATTTAGAATCTGATTTTTCGTTGATTTTTTTTTGTAACGACAGCGGAAACTCAATCACATTCTTTCAGACATGGTGATAAATCTTTCGACTCCACATAGTAGTTTATAAATGTCGTGAAACCGGTAAATCATCCAAATAATGACAATTTGGCTAGAAAGTGGAATCGAATCTATGATCTTTTAAGAATTGGAATACATGGTTTATAATTTTTTTTACATTGGTATTCTTCATAGAAACATGCATGATTATGGGAATCCGATACAACATGTTTATAATCGGTAAGAATGTGATCGCAGTAAACACTACAGGATTCGCATATAATTAGCACCCAAGAGGCTGATCAATATAATAATTAAATAATTTGGTGGAATGCAATGGATTATAAACATAACAATATAAACGCTACAATATTATATTATATGATTTTTTTTTTAAAAGAGAGGAACAGAACAGTCAAAAAGTTAAGTGAAAAGGATTCGGCAAGAGAATAAAAATGGGGTTCACTCTACATTACAATTTTTTTAAATTTTATATTACAAAAAAAGCTCTGCTTCCTTCGTTTCCCTCCCGGTGGAATATATCCAACAACTACGAGCTAACAACAAATTCTTCATAACACATTAATATATATATATATATATATATATATATGCATGTATATATGTGTGTGTATAGTCATCTTTTTTTATTATTTTATTTTACAAAATATCTTGATATTTGTTTAAGCTATATAATCTATGATATTCTAATATTTATATTGTTGTTAATTACAGCATAAGCAAACCCACCACAAATGGATGTCATTCCTGAATTTGACAGGGAATATTATAAATGGGTAAGTTTAGTTTTGTTCTTTTGGAGATTCCCGTAAGTAATTATCATTGGTGGGTTTTTTGTTTCATGATTGGTGAACCAGTTTTAAACTAATATAGTTCCTTTAAAATTCCAAAATATCAACAAAAAAAATTCCTTACGATGATAAATTAATGGTTTAAATATAGATAAATGTCCAAACAAACTGGTAAAATAATAACAATATAAGTGCAAAATCAGCTTATGCTTTGATTATAGATTTGTGTCAATGTATCCGTATCCTATTATAGTATAATTTTTTATAATGAAATATGTTTTCCAAATTATTCATCTTATACTAAAGTTCATATAAACAGAATTTTCCATTAGAAATAATATAATGAAAGAAAAAAAATAGAATTTTTGCAAGATTTGCCAAAAAATACAGAAAAAAATACCGGTGACTGCAAATGCACGTTAACTCTAAAACCCTAAAACTATATTTACGATTTTATCGAATCAGATATGAAAAAATTATGTTACACGCAGTTATAAAATAACAGAAACAGATAAAATAATGATTATATATATATATATATTCTCATCACACACTATTGCTATTACAAAGTTGCTCTTCTTTACTAAAACCAATCATATAGCAAAGAAAAGGGCATACACAGCACGCAAAGCTCGAGATTTATTTTATTTTTTAATACATGAAAATCAAAGCCAACAGAATTGGTAAAAGACCAACTTGTACCAAAGAATCGTGTCCCTTTAAATTTTAATTTGTTTTAACAATCTTCTCTTTATTAGGGTTCATTGCATATTATAGTATTTGTTAAATCTTATAATTTCTTCCCTTAGCTGTAATCAATCACAAATGATAAATGGTTATTATTATTATTATTTTGAGACGAAACGAATCGAAAACAAATCGCTTTCTGCACTGATTCTCAAAGTCTTTTTTTTTCTTATATGCTTTTTTGCTTTTAGTGTAATGGTAAACAAATCTCTCCTAATCTTCAATACGAACAATCCGATCTTTAGGCTTCTAGTCCCTCGTGAAACGGCATGCTGTTTCTCCCCACCTTAGAGACTTTAGGAACACGTGGATTAATTTACGTTTACTAATTACTAGATTATTCAATTATTTTCGCTTAGGTTTAGATGTAAACTAGATGATTTTCGGTGCAAAACATGAGTTTAAATTTTGTTAGAATGAAAAAAGAATGATAGTTGGTGTATTTGAAGTCGGGTTTTTACATATAATTGGGACGTGGTGATATCGTATATGTGAAGTCGGTATCAGAATCCTCACGGCCACTCCGACACTCGTACGTGCTCGAATCGAAAGACACCGGAGATTTTAACGAGTTCGGTTACCGAGTTACCTCGGGCCTACGTCTCGGCCGGACGGTGCCGGCGAATCCACTAGAGAACGGAAAGAAGTATCGGAGAACAGAAGCTCGGCGGATCTCCACAATCCGGAGCCTCACCGAGGAGAAACCGAGACAAGAACAAGAGACCCTTACCGATTCGACCCTTGCTTACCGCGTCGTCGCCGTCGATCTTGCTCCGTCGTCGCCGAGGAGCTCCGGCCACCTTGTCTCTCTCTTTTTCCCCTCACGATCGCCTTTGCGATCTTCTCTTTTTCTTCTCTCGAGCACCGTGCCGCATCCCACACGAAGTGACGGAACCCCTTAGGGTTTCATTAACCCGCTACTCAAAACGCAACGCTTAGCCAAAATGGGTCGCGTTCCTTTCTTCAGCAAATGGGCCATGGGCCGTGCGAGCGGGCCCAACAATCTCCACCTTGGTGGAGAAAGGAACTTGCAAGGAAATAATAACAAATAAAAACGCTAGTGGAATTCGCCGTTTCCAGCACCGATCGACTTTCGTCGATCCCTCGACTTTCGTCGGAATTTAAACGCAAACTTACCTGACTTACCTCACTTACCTGATGTCGCGGAGTTAGTCACATGTCGCCCTCAAGCTTCCCGTCGATGACTCCTCGTGGCCTCGTCGCCTTATCCCGTCACCGATCAGCTCATCTATACCTGAAACACTTGGTAAACGTGTTAGAACGTTCACCCCGATAAGACTCGAACCGTAGTCCTATCCCGCGTTGCCCGACCGGCAAACGCTACCCTCGGTTGTATGACTCCCTAGACCGTCTAACTAACCCTCCTAGTAAAGTCCAAGGCTATACCCGCTAGCTAACCCGAGGATTACACCCGACGTCTACCCGTCTCCTAAGTCTATCCCGACTTTCCCGAGACTAACCTGAGTCATACTACCGAAACCCGCTAGATACCTAGCCCGGATCCCCGTGAAGTCTATACTACCTATAGGTATACGACTTCTACCCTCGGACCCTAACCTGCCAACTAGAATTGTCCCACGGTTTTGTCCCGTGAAGACGTTCCTAGTCATCTACGATGCTCCACCGAGAATAAGAGACACGTGAGTGCACGTGCTCCACCTCGAGAGGGAGTGTCTATATTGTTGTTAATTACAGCATAAGCAAACCCACCACAAATGGATGTCATTCCTGAATTTGACAGGGAATATTATAAATGGGTAAGTTTAGTTTTGTTCTTTTGGAGATTCCCGTAAGTAATTATCATTGGTGGGTTTTTTGTTTCATGATTGGTGAACCAGTTTTAAACTAATATAGTTCCTTTAAAATTCCAAAATATCAACAAAAAAAATTCCTTACGATGATAAATTAATGGTTTAAATATAGATAAATGTCCAAACAAACTGGTAAAATAATAACAATATAAGTGCAAAATCAGCTTATGCTTTGATTATAGATTTGTGTCAATGTATCCGTATCCTATTATAGTATAATTTTTTATAATGAAATATGTTTTCCAAATTATTCATCTTATACTAAAGTTCATATAAACAGAATTTTCCATTAGAAATAATATAATGAAAGAAAAAAAATAGAATTTTTGCAAGATTTGCCAAAAAATACAGAAAAAAATACCGGTGACTGCAAATGCACGTTAACTCTAAAACCCTAAAACTATATTTACGATTTTATCGAATCAGATATGAAAAAATTATGTTACACGCAGTTATAAAATAACAGAAACAGATAAAATAATGATTATATATATATATATATTCTCATCACACACTATTGCTATTACAAAGTTGCTCTTCTTTACTAAAACCAATCATATAGCAAAGAAAAGGGCATACACAGCACGCAAAGCTCGAGATTTATTTTATTTTTTAATACATGAAAATCAAAGCCAACAGAATTGGTAAAAGACCAACTTGTACCAAAGAATCGTGTCCCTTTAAATTTTAATTTGTTTTAACAATCTTCTCTTTATTAGGGTTCATTGCATATTATAGTATTTGTTAAATCTTATAATTTCTTCCCTTAGCTGTAATCAATCACAAATGATAAATGGTTATTATTATTATTATTTTGAGACGAAACGAATCGAAAACAAATCGCTTTCTGCACTGATTCTCAAAGTCTTTTTTTTTCTTATATGCTTTTTTGCTTTTAGTGTAATGGTAAACAAATCTCTCCTAATCTTCAATACGAACAATCCGATCTTTAGGCTTCTAGTCCCTCGTGAAACGGCATGCTGTTTCTCCCCACCTTAGAGACTTTAGGAACACGTGGATTAATTTACGTTTACTAATTACTAGATTATTCAATTATTTTCGCTTAGGTTTAGATGTAAACTAGATGATTTTCGGTGCAAAACATGAGTTTAAATTTTGTTAGAATGAAAAAAGAATGATAGTTGGTGTATTTGAAGTCGGGTTTTTACATATAATTGGGACGTGGTGATATCGTATATGTGAAGTCGGTATCAGAATCCTCACGGCCACTCCGACACTCGTACGTGCTCGAATCGAAAGACACCGGAGATTTTAACGAGTTCGGTTACCGAGTTCCCTCGGGCCTACGTCTCGGCCGGACGGGGCCGGCGAATCCACTAGAGAACGGAAAGAAGTATCGGAGAACAGAAGCTCGGCGGATCTCCACAATCCGGAGCCTCACCGAGGAGAAACCGAGACAAGAACAAGAGACCCTTACCGATTCGACCCTTGCTTACCGCGTCGTCGCCGTCGATCTTGCTCCGTCGTCGCCGAGGAGCTCCGGCCACCTTGTCTCTCTCTTTTTCCCCTCACGATCGCCTTTGCGATCTTCTCTTTTTCTTCTCTCGAGCACCGTGCCGCATCCCACACGAAGTGACGGAACCCCTTAGGGTTTCATTAACCCGCTACTCAAAACGCAACGCTTAGCCAAAATGGGTCGCGTTCCTTTCTTCAGCAAATGGGCCATGGGCCGTGCGAGCGGGCCCAACAGTATATATATGATGATTATGATACATGATAAAAAATATTATAATAATATCATGGATAGTATGATTTAATTACTCATTTCATTTTCTTCTAAATCTATCTAAGCCCGTCAACCTAATACCCCTAGAACAAGTGTATATAGAATTCGTCTTGAAAACGGCATACTGTTTCGTCGAGCCCAAAACACACGGCATGTTGTCAACCAGAAACGACGCCCATGTCAAATTCGTAACGGACAGACGACAAGCATGTTGTAGAATTCGTCTAGAAAACGGCACTGTTTCATTGAACCCAAAACACGGCTCGGCAAGCAAGTCGTCAACTAGAAACGACGCCCATTTCAAATTCGAAATGAACAGACGACATGCATGTTGTTAATCTGGGTTCTGGGCTTCGAATAATCTGTCTGGGCCCACTAATTCGATGGGTTGATTTGAACAGGTTGCTTTTGTCTGCTCTCACCTGCCCTATATTTACATCCCTTTTTTTAAAAAAAAATTTCCAAATAAAAAATAAAAACAATAATAGATATGTATATATTTGGGTATATGTATATGCTTATACAGAACCATAGACATACATCAATGTTGAAAAACTTCCCAACCAAACCTAAGGAACTCGGTTCAATTAGTCCTAAAACATTACCTGTTATCGGGCCGGAAGTTTACCTAGTTAGCGCGCCCGAAGAATAGCAGCTAGGGATCCTACAAAAAAAAAAAAAAAAAAAAAAAAAAATACCCGACGCATCGGAGAAGAGAAGAACTCGAATCAACTCCGGTGAGTCTGAAGCTCTGAATCTTAAATTTTCCGGCGTTCTTGTAATTTAGTTCGGCTTCGATTTTTTGTTACCTGGCCCTTTTAGGGTTCTTTGAGAACGAGATTCATATATAATACCCGCTTATTGATGCTTACGCATTCCTCTGGTTAGAGAATTCCCGTTTTCCCCCCCTCTGGTTATTAGTGAATCTGCTGGATCTTCGATGTGAATTGCTCATTGAATAATGCATGTGAAGCTAAATCACTGTAGAAATCTTATTTTGGCGTTGGGGTTTTGAATATCTCTTCTCTGCTTCTGGGTTTACCAGAAGAACTTGTATGATATCGGCTACGTGTTTCGGAGATGGTTCTGTTGTACTGGTTTTAAGAATCGATTTAACGTTTTCTGGTTTTTGTGGATGCCAATTAGATTTGACATATCAGAATGGAAGCAGAGAGAGAAGTTTTAGGTTAGTTCACAATTCTTAGACTGTGTTCTTGGGAATTTTAACATGAATTGCTGATCCTGTTGAAATTTGATGTTTAGATTTGGATTCTGTGTTTGGATCATTCTACTAAGAGATATTTCTGACCAAGAAAACCCTTACATGGTATTAAACGGTGCCTTGCTTGAACGCAAGGTTTATATCGAAGTTCAATCCCTGAGAGTAATGTCATTGATGCACTCTACCTGTCTCGTAACTGTAGAGGCTGGATGCTTTATATGGAAATTCAATTCCTGAGCATGTAATCGATAATATATTTGATTGTTTGAAAAGATTCGCATGTTTGGACCTAAGATTTATTCGTGAAGTTGTGTCATTATCATATATAAAGTTTAAAGAGATATGATGCATTGTAATACTCGGTTTTAGATGATGACTGGTCACCATGATCCATGTGTTGTGTTTCCTGTTAGGAGATATGGTTGTTGACATAAGAGAAATATATGGATCAGTGATAGAATGTTTGAAGTTTTTTAATTTCTTATAGAGTTGGAAGTTTTTTTTAACTTTTCTAATAAGCGGTCCAATATTTTATACTGTTTCTATTAATTGTTTTTTGCCTTTTAATAGCACCATGAAACAATTTTTTTCTGATGGGGGGAAAAGCTATTAAAGGGTTATGTATGTTTTTGGATCCCTAAACCTTAGCAAACATACCGACAATACACCATTGCTTGTGATTTGTTTAAGGTTTAGAAGATCCAAAAACCGTGGTTCATAGCCACGTGCTCTAATCCTCTGAGCTACAATAAAAGGATTGAGCCGAGTTTATCTATTGATTGGCACTTTAATAGTTTTTTCTCCATCAGGAAAAAAATAACTCATACATAGTTATCGAGAGGCAAAAACAGTGAACACAAATAACATAAAACATTGAACCATTGATTAGAAAGGTTAAAAACTTCCCAACATTATAGGAAGTTAAAAAAAACTTCCTCCGTCCGTCCAGCAGAAAATTTTGAGCTGGAGGGTGTCGAGCAAGTTTCTCTATACGCAAAGATATCGGGGAAAGGAAGAGGAGGAACTGGAAAACACTGGAAAGAGGTGTGTTTTCTGGGATCTGTGTCATGAGCAGAAGATTCATTGCAAAGTGGGAAAGATCTTCTTCTAATGTGAACTTTGCAACAAAAAGTATAAATCTGTGATGGAGTTTGAAGATGCCACTTGAGCTCATACCATCACAATACAACCATATGAAGGTAACATGGACTTCTTCTTTGATATTTTTCTATACATCAAAACAACCATATTGGCATTTTTCATTGTTCAAAAAGAAATGAGAGTGAATGCATAGGGGGAGCAGCAGTGTCCGGAGAGAGGTAGATGGCTAATGAAATGCGCTCAAATAAATAGTCTATCGCTTATGTTCCTTAAATGTTAGTAGTATTTGCCAATTGTCATGCATTTGATGCGGATTTAAGCTCTGTTTACTTCTTTACCCGTCTAGGGCCGAAGCAAAATGATTCAAAAGATCCAAAACTTGGATAGTTCAATCGGTAAAATGGATGTTTAACGTCTTTTGAACATTGGGTTCGACCTTCAAGTTTGGAGACTATACCTTTTAGTCTCTAGGATCACTTTCTCTCTCAAACTCTAAAGGACAGAACTTTATGATCATTTCTTGGGTTTAGTTTCACAAAAAAAAAAACTCACGACCACAAAAAAAAAACAACATAAAAAACCTGTTGTAAGGATGTCAGATACAATCACGAACCCTCTTTGCTCATCTTTAACACGTGCGCGAGCGTTTCTCTCTGTTGTTAGGTGAGACCACCCTCCTACCTTCCTCGACCCTGACGTGATACGCACGTGACTTTACTACACGACAAAAGATCCCCCGCCCCTCGTCGTCGCAGCAGCCCACTTCCCCCAACTTGTCTCCATCCCCTTTTATAATAATGGAGTCTCCTCTCATTCCTCCCCTCTTTTCCATTTTCCATCTCTCAGGGATTTTCAAACTTGGGATCCGTCTTCGTCGTCGTCCATGGCGTCTCTTTCGTCTCCGCCCGACGAAGCCGCCTATCGTAACTGCCATCCCAAGAGGCTCTCGTCTAATGGCGCCATCGAACCCACCTCCGATTTCTTCAAGCGACCCAAAATTTGCCCTCGGTCCTCCAATTTCAACTCTCCCATCGAAATCGAATCCGAGTTCTCGCACCACGATTCATCCTCCGCGCGAATCAACAACGGAAGCTTCGGATGTTGCCCGGCTTCCATTCTCGTGCTCCAGAGGGAGTGGCAGCTCCGGTTCCTCCGGCAGCCCGATCGGTTCTACTTCGACGATCTTAAGCCCAAAATCGCCGAATCCAGGGCTGTGATCAGGCGCCTCATCAACGCCGACCAAGTCGACGAGATCTCCCTCGTCGATAACGCCACCACCGCTGCCGCAATCGTGCTTCAGCAGACCGCCTGGGCCTTCCGCGAGGGACGGTTCCAGAGAGGGGACGCCGTGGTCATGCTCCACTACGCCTACGGCTCTGTCAAGAAGTCTGTTGAGGCTTACGTTACACGCGCCGGTGGTCACGTCATCGAGGTACAACTGCCTTTCCCTGTCGAGTCGACGGACGAAATCGTGGGTCGGTTTAGGAACGCTCTAGAGACAGGGAAAGCCAATGGTAAGAGGGTTAGGTTAGCTCTGATCGATCATGTGACCTCAATGCCTAGCGTCGTGATCCCCATCAAAGAACTTGTGAAAATCTGCAGAGAAGAAGGTGTTGACCAGGTGTTCGTGGATGCTGCTCATGGAATTGGGTGCGTTGACGTTGACGTGAAAGAGATTGGTGCCGATTTCTACACGAGCAATCTCCACAAGTGGTTTTTCGCGCCACCTTCTGTGGCGTTCTTGTACTGTAAGAAATCAGACAGTGCTTCTCCCGATTTGCATCACCCTGTTGTGTCGAGTGAGTACGGAAACGGGTTGGCCATAGAGAGCTCATGGGTGGGAACTAGGGATTACAGCGCTCAGTTAGTTGTTCCTTCGATCTTGGAGTTTGTAAACAGATTCGAAGGTGGGATCGATGGCATAAAGAAGAGGAACCATGACGCTGTGGTCGAGATGGGTCAGATGCTTGCTAAAGCTTGGGGAACGCAGCTGGGTTGCCCGCCCGAGATGTGCGCGAGTATGATCATGGTCGGTTTGCCTCCCTGCTTGGGGGTCTCTAGTGATTCAGATGCTTTGAAATTGAGAACTCTTTTGAGAGAAAGGTTCAGGATCGAAGTCCCGATCTACTTCCGCCCACCTAAGGACGGAGAAATTGATCCGATCACGAGCTATGCCCGGATTTCTCATCAGATTTACAACAAACCCGATGATTACTACCGGTTCCGGGATGCTGTGAACGAACTTGTGAATGACGGGTTTAGATGCACGTCTCTACCGGATTGAAGCCGGTATCCTCCTGGTCCTGACCTTGTAGTAATGGTTTAAGTGCATTGTCCCAAAGAATAAACGTCCAATGTTTCTACATTGCCAAGTTAATAAGCTGATGGTTCTGAATATTAACAGTTTCACATTTGGATCATACTCGATGTTCGCAGGAGACAAGACATGAGTGCCGGGTCGAATAAAACATCTCAGGTGGTCATATGGTTTAGGTACCATGGCGATGGATATGAAATAAGGATTGTATCTGAGTTTAGTTTTGTTGTTTCTGTTAATCCCCACTTTCTAACTAACATGATATAATGTATTTATGAATGAATATTTTTGTATCTATTTTCTGTTTCAAATAACTAGGATTTGACTTTTGGGGTTTCGGCTAAATCTCGAATTGGCTATTTTTGGATTACATGGGTTTTGTATAAAAATATTTTCATTCAACTTTTATGTATTTTTTTGTTTGTTTGGTTTCTGGATTTAGATTTCATTTTCATTAAAATAACATTTAAAAATATCTTTGTTTTTTATTTTATTTTTCAATTATTTTATATTTGCATTAGATTTAGTTAATTTGATTTTAGAAAAGAAAATATATCCTATTAATTTTAAGTAAAATGCTGTTTTGATACCGTTCAATTCATTCTAAAGCGGATTTGGGCTTGGAAAAAAAATGTGAAAGCATTGGAAAGTCATATTTCTTGAAAATGGAAAAGTTGGTGAAAAATCATGGTGGTTGACGGTTGTGAAACATTTTCAGAACATGAGATTTTGAAAGGGAGGAGGGACACGTTAAGATTCCGCGGTCAACATCCAAAGATATATGCACGTCATCTTCACAAAAATAAATTTTTATTTAGCATATTTTCTATCACATTATGTTTATGAAAAATAAGATCTTTATTTCTACGACAACGACAAAAATTAGACTACGAATGGACGAGATTAGAGTTTTTGTATTTAAAAAACCAAAAAAAATAACCAATCAAATTTTTATAAAATTAGTTTTATTAAAAATTTGAAATACCAGTTTGATGAAAAAATTAATTAAAAACTAAATTTTTTTTTATTTTCAAGATCAAAATCCAAAAATTTAAAACTATAAACCAAAAACTAAAACTAAAAACTATTGCCATTTAAAACCTTAACTTAGGTTATTTCTTCTTTTAAAATAAAAAGAGTAACTAGTGGGACCCACGACCGGAACCTCGTCGGATCTGACGTGGCATGGCTCTGATTTCTGTCTTATCTTCGACCATCGGTTGGAAGATCCACTTCCGTGCTCAACAAATCCCCGTCTTTTTTCCCCCTCGTATAAAACGAAAACCCTGTAATTATATTTCGATTTTGTCTACAAACTATAGTTTAATTTCATTAATATAAAGCCCACTACAAGTTAATTTAATAATTTCATTAAACTAAAACAACAAATATAACAAGAGGGTCCTTTAAAAGGTTCTCTCTCTCGTGCTTCCACTGCGGAGTTCATGTTGTTTGCCTATGACGCCTTCCCTCGTCGATTTCACCGGTTCCTTCTCAGAACCTCACAAGAAATTCTCAATTTCGGATTAGGGTTTGTTAATTCTCCGTAATTCCGTGTAAATTTCCCATCTTTCTGCCTTTTGATATGCAATTTCTTTTTCTAGGGTTCTTGCCACGCAATTCGCTTCCGGTTTACGATCTTCTGGTAGGTTATATGAATATTTCCTGGCTGTTCGATGGCATCAGATACTTTTCTGCTGTGGATAACGCTTCTGTAGCTGTGGGGTTGGGTGGTAGATTCTTGTTATGTCTCGATGAGAAAAGGGAATCAATAATCTGGTTAGGTTTTTACCCTAAATTCGTGAAATTGACGACTGGTTAGGGTTCTTGATTGAGGACGGGACAACAAAGTTGAAAGCTTTCTTTTGATTTGACCAGTTCTCATCATCTGTCTGCCTTCCCCTTTTTGGCCATTCGATTGCGATTGTTTGCTCTGAGTGCCTTATTCAAGTCCTCGGTTTCAAATGGGGGTTTTGTGGAGTTTGGGGTTTCAATGGTTTGGCTGTGTAATGCAGGATATGGCGGGGAAACGGATCATAGCGATATGTATGGCCGGAGGGGAATTTCATACAGAGAAGGGGGGTTGCCTTTCTTACAAGGGCGGCGATGCTCATGCCATAGACGTAGACGAGCAGATGAAGTTCACAGACTTTCTGTCTGAGATTGCAGAGATGTTCAACTGCGACATCGGGACGGTGTCTTTGAAGTACTTTCTCCCGGGTAACAGGAAGACGCTAATCTCGATCTCGAACGATAAAGATTTGATGCGGATGATCAAGTTCCATGGCAACTCGGATACCGCTGATGTTTATATCATCACAGAAGTAGATGTTCCGGATGTTTCGAACATGCCTGGTAGCAGGTAATTCTCTCGAATTCCTCGGAACGTCTATCTCTCGTCCGTCTTCTGAACTTTTCCGGGACAGCCGACAGGTAATCTTACTCTCTCTGTTCCAGATCAAGCAGAACGACGCTGTCTGAAGCTGTTCTTCCGTTTCCTCCTCCGATGAACATAGTGGACGACATCATGGATGATACAACAGAACCACAGCCAGAACTGGAACCAGAAACCGACCTTCCCCTGTCGGTTGTTGGCATGGAGCAAACCGTAAATCATGCTGCAGATGCCCCGATGGATATACCTCTCGATATGATGTCGGTTATTCCTGTCCCGAGTCCGAAAGGCGACAGGCTCATCGCCAAGGCAACTCAGCAATGGCAGAACACAATCACGGGGGTCGGACAGAGATTCAACAGTGTCACGGAGTTCCGGGAAGCACTGCGGAAGTACGCAATCGCCAATCGGTTTGCGTTTCGCTACAAAAAGAACGATAGCCACCGAGTGACCGTCAAATGCAAGGCCGAGGGCTGCCCCTGGAGGATCCACGCATCTCGGCTATCTACTACTCAGCTGATCTGTATCAAGAAAATGAACCCGACGCATACTTGCGAAGGCTCGGGTGGGACTGACGGGCTTCACACGAGTCGGAGCTGGGTAGCGAGCATTATAAAGGAGAAGCTGAAGGTTTCCCCGAACTACAGGCCGAAAGATATTGTCAACGACATCAAGCAAGAGTACGGAATCCAGCTGAATTACTTTCAGGCGTGGCGCGGGAAAGAGATCGCGAAAGAGCAGCTTCAGGGCTCGTACAAAGACGGTTACAAACAACTGCCAGTATTCTGTGAGAAGATCATGGAAACGAATCCTGGCAGCCTTGCCACCTTCACGACGAAGGAAGATTCGAGCTTTCACCGCCTTTTCGTCTCGTTTCACGCCTCGCTCTATGGTTTTCTTCAGGGTTGTCGCCCGCTCGTGTTTCTCGACAGCGTACATCTTAAATCGAAGTATCAGGGGAACTTGTTGGCTGCGACTTCTGTCGATGGCGATGACGAAGTGTTTCCGCTCGCATTCGGGGTTGTGGATGCAGAGACGGACGATAACTGGCGATGGTTCTTGCTTCAGCTGAAATCCGCGCTGTCCACATCGTGTCCGATCACGTTCATAGCGGACAGACGGAAGGGTCTGCGGGAATCGATCCCCGAGGTTTTCGAGGCTTCGTTCCATGCGTACTGTCTGGGTCACTTGACCGAAGAGCTCATCAGATGCCTGAAAGTACCGTTCTCTCATGAGGTAAAACGCTTGATCGTCGAGGATTTCTACGCTGCGGCATATGCTCCGAGACCCGATGCATTCCAGAGATACGTCGAGAACATCAAAGGGATCTCGCTCGAAGCCTACGACTGGATCTTGCGGAACAGCCAGCCCGATCATTGGGCAAACGCATATTTTCCCGGATCGCGTTACAACCATATGACGTCGAATTCGCATGAGCTCTTCTTCAACTGGGCGTCCTACACGAACGATCTCCCGATCACACAGATGGTCGACATGATCCGTGGTAAAATCACGGATCTGTTCCACGCGAGAAGAGCCAACATGGCTGAGACAGAGGCCGCGGGAAGGCTGACGCCCTCGATGGAGGGCAAGCTTGAGAAGGAGAGCCTGAAAGCGCAGACGCTTTGCGTGACATTTTCGGCAGACAGCAACGAGTTTCAGGTCCGAGGGGACACGTATGAGGTCGTGAACATGGACCGATGGGACTGCAGCTGCAAAGACTGGCAGATGAGCGGCTTACCGTGTGCCCACGCGGTCGCTGTCATCGCCTACATTGGCCGCAGCCATTACGATTTCTGTTCCAGGTACTTCACCCTCGAAAACTACAGGCTAACATATTCGCAGTCTGTAAACCCGATCCCGTCGCCAGACCGAGAGATCCCGAGGGATAGCTCGGGGGGTTCCGTGGTGACGGTGACTCCGCCTCCGACACGGCGGCCGCCCGGGCGGCCGGCGTTGAAGAAGCCGGAAGCGGCGGTGGGGCAGGAGGCGATGAAGCGGCAACTGCAGTGCAGTAAGTGCAAGGGACTTGGCCATAACAAGTCTACTTGCAAAGACGATCTTTTAGAGTGCTAATTTAGGAGGATTCGCTCACGCTTTTTTTTTCTTCCTCAGGTTTTATATGAACCTCTAACCACGGCTTCCATACGTTCATGAATCTTTTATTGGATTGGACAGTAAACAAGTCATATAATAATCTGTTTCCCCGCTTTTACAACACTGAATTAATTCTTCTTCTACTCGTACAACAACAGGAGAAAAGGGCGCACGTACATTATCACATCATACATAAGAGGGCATAGATCTCTGTTCCTTTTGTTACAAACGTTTTTTTAGGGTTTGAGGATGTGGGAAATCTCACAAGCCCAGCCAGGGGCACTGCTTTCTGGCGTGATCAGGGACTAACTTCGCCACCATCTCCGCCGGCACTCCTTTCAGCTCTGTTTCACCAAAAACAAAAAAAAAACAGACTGGTAAAGCCATGTTTCTAATCAACTTTCATGATCGGAATCTCGAGGAGTATTGTCGGTTCATTCTTTGCGATTCTCCGACAGTAACATCCAGCCGAGTTTTCCACCGGCATTTTTTCCCGACATTCTTTACTCCATCTGGACCTAATAAATAGGGTTGTGAAAGAAAGACTCATGGTGCCGTACCGTGAGGCTTGAAGTTGAAGTCACCCCGCCTCCGACACGGCGGCCGCCCGGGCGGCCGGCGTTGAAGAAGCCGGAAGCGGCGGTGGGGCAGGAGGCGATGAAGCGGCAACTGCAGTGCAGTAAGTGCAAGGGACTTGGCCATAACAAGTCTACTTGCAAAGACGATCTTTTAGAGTGCTAATTTAGGAGGATTCGCTCACGCTTTTTTTTTCTTCCTCAGGTTTTATATGAACCTCTAACCACGGCTTCCATACGTTCATGAATCTTTTATTGGATTGGACAGTAAACAAGTCATATAATAATCTGTTTCCCCGCTTTTACAACACTGAATTAATTCTTCTTCTACTCGTACAACAACAGGAGAAAAGGGCGCACGTACATTATCACATCATACATAAGAGGGCATAGATCTCTGTTCCTTTTGTTACAAACGTTTTTTTAGGGTTTGAGGATGTGGGAAATCTCACAAGCCCAGCCAGGGGCACTGCTTTCTGGCGTGATCAGGGACTAACTTCGCCACCATCTCCGCCGGCACTCCTTTCAGCTCTGTTTCACCAAAAACAAAAAAAAAACAGACTGGTAAAGCCATGTTTCTAATCAACTTTCATGATCGGAATCTCGAGGAGTATTGTCGGTTCATTCTTTGCGATTCTCCGACAGTAACATCCAGCCGAGTTTTCCACCGGCATTTTTTCCCGACATTCTTTACTCCATCTGGACCTAATAAATAGGGTTGTGAAAGAAAGACTCATGGTGCCGTACCGTGAGGCTTGAAGTTGAAGAGCGGAGGGAGGAAACGTCCGTTGGGCAAACGAGCGTTCGGATCTCTCAGCTCGTCAAAGAACGGATGGACCAATGTATCAAGCTGCCATTTCGGGCATTACGACATCAATCAGAGATCACAATTGTAACAACGAACAAAGAGCTGAAAGAACGAGGAAGGCAGGTTCGAAAAACACTCACAGCGGTGCAACGTAGATTGGGAGAGTACTGAAGAAGACGCGAGACTAAATCCACAGCTTCAGGAGGCATCCGCTTGTGGAATATCTGCAGACACGAATGATAAGACTCGTCATGCCATGCCATGTCAATGTTGCATGAGACTTTTCGAACATGTATATGAAGGTGTGTAAATAAACCTTGTGCCATGGATGAGCTTTGATCTGTGGAAATTTGAACTCCGTGTAATTAGGGTTCATGCACTTGATTTCCTCCCTCGTCGGCGTTCCCAATACCTGCAATAACACATACATTGGATTCCCATCATATCAATCAAGTTGTCGAAAATGGGTACATGTAGTGAAGAAGTACATAAACAAGGGTAAAGCTAATACCTTTATAATCTCCACAAGCTGATCAACGCCGCTTTCACCTGGGAATAGGGGCTGTCATTAACAGAAGATACATTTGTTAATTCAAATTACTCCAGACCCAGTAGAGCAGAACCTGCTTGATGTGGGATCTTATTTACATACATACGTATATATATACATACACACACACACCTGTCCGAGGAGGAGCTCAGCAAGAACACATCCTGCTGACCAGATATCGATAGCTGTAGTGTACTCAGTTGCTCCAAATATAAGTTCTGGTGCTCTGTAATATCTCGAGCAAATGTATGATATGTTCGGTTCTCCTTTTACCTGTTGCAACACGTAACCGTTATCAAAATGATTGAAACATCATTCAAAAATCGTAACTCAGATGTGAATTCATTGGACGTACCAATACTTTCGCACTTCCAAAGTCACATAGTTTCACTTGGTGAGTGTGAGGGTTTACCTGAACCAACATAAGAAAAAAAAAGTATAACTAAAGTGTAAAAGGGTACAACTAATTCAAGGAAATTGATGTACGCATAATGCAAATCCCCGGATTTACATATCTCTTCACGTACCAACAAGTTCTGAGGTTTAATGTCGCGATGGCACACTCCAATGCTACGGTGAATGTATGATAAGGCTCTAAAAATCTGTCATAGACATAGCGAAGAGACTTAAGTTAGTGAACCAAAAAACTACACAGCCCACAAAGCATATTAGAGATGTGATTGTATAGAGAGAGAGAAAAAAGCATTTACCTGATATGTGTAGAGTTTGACGTATACCAGAGGCATCCTTTGGCTAAGTTTGTTGTAGTGTTTGATAACACGGTGAACGGTCTCAGGAACGTATTCAAGGACAAGGTTGAGGTAAAGCTCGTCCTTTTCGGTTGTGGAGAAGAAACAGTGTTTCAGAGACACAACATTAGGATGGTCGAGCAGCCTCATGGTTTGCAGTTCACGGTTCTTGTACCTGCGATCTTGCAGTACTTTCTTAATTGCGACGGTTTCTCCTGTCTCTAAGCATTTTGCCTGAATCATCAACAAAGAAAAATGGGTACAGATTTATAGTCAGTATTATTATGGATAGACAAATATTGTAGTGTTTCTTGAAATACAAACCCTGATGGATCGTGGGGTCAGCAGTGTTCCACAGAGTAACTCTGAATACCAATCAAACTACCGGGAGAAAACATAAAACATCAGAAGAGATGAAGGACAAACTCACTTGGAAAACAACGCCGAAAGATCCGTGTCCAACAACCCGTTCAGCCATGTAGCTGATAGTCTGTGCCGTGAATTCAACAATTGAAAGATCAAAATTTTGTGACCATTCCAAGGCAAGAAATGAAAGATTTGATACGTTTAAGCAGGAGATTTTCATCAAGGGTAAGAAGAATATCCAACTACATGAAAAGGAAAGTAAAACAAGAGAGCACCTGCTTCGGTTGGCCATTCTTTCCACCAATAGTCGTCACTATTATGTGACCAGTCTCCGTTCCATTGCCATCAACAACTGTGGCTTCCATTTCCTGCAACATCATCAGTTCAGTCAGTTGTCTGCAACAACACAAAAACACCATAAGTGTCGATCGTTGCCAAACCCACTTTATCGTCTCGGATTTTCATGTCGTTCATCTCCTCGGGCAACTTATCAACCCCGGAAGCAGGAGCTACGCCCACCGAGGCCATCTTCCGCTACAAAAGAAGGGTTCCTCCTTTGTAAGACCTCAGGCTTGACAGAGGCAAAAACTCAACCTGCGTTGGCAACAACACGGTAGCAAGATAATGAGTTACATTAACAACAAGAAAAGGGGGCTACTAGTGGTTGATTTCTTATATTATACTGTGCAATATAGTTGTTTACTCGTTGAATTTCAATGAAGAACCCATTTCAATAGCAAGCTATCCAGATATGAACAAGAACAGAACTTCAGCAAAAAATAAAATCAATAATCCGATCCCCAACAAAAAAAAATCCAAGACGCACGTCAAAGATATACATAATACGAATCAAGTGGCTTCCTTACACATTAAAAACAAACAAAGCTTGAAATTTCACGGGAAATCTGAGAAAATTTGCCAGAAAAGGCAAGACATATCACAAATTATAGAACCCTAGACGGAAACTTCTTAAATGGGAAGAAATGCCCGTACATATACACGGAAAATCGAAAATTTCAGACACCCAGACAACAAGTTCGGAAGATCCAGACCCAGAACATGAAAATCCAACTCGTTTCGGCAGATAAACGAAAACCCACAAAATCAGAAGGGGAAATATTTCAACAAGAAGACACGACCCATTAAAAGATCCGACGCCATAAAAGCGGATCTGAAGCTAAAAACAGCAAATTTTCACATAAATAAACATGAGATTCGAGGAAAGCAAACAAACAGCCCAAAAATTTGAAACAGGAAACCAGACCAAACCCAAAACGAAAAAGACTTCATACGTACCGAAGAAACACAGAAAAATCCAGATCCAGGAACACAAAGGTCGTAGAGAGACAAAGATCGTAGAGAGAGAATCAGAGGATAAACAGATCCATAAGAAAGATTTTGATGAAGAATCCCTTGTTATTCGGCTTCTCCAGCTTTTCCTCTCTATTTTTTTTTCCCCGATGAATGAGAAATTTTTTTTCCCTATCTGTGGCTGCCTTTTCAAGAGACGTATGCTATAATGCGCTGGTGACAGTCGTATCATCATACAATAAATAAAATCCAAAAATACGCAAATAAGATAAACAAAAATAAATAAATAAATAAATGTACACATATATATTAAAATAATTTTTATATTAGATTATTATAGAAATAAATTCGTGAATTTTACAAAGGGAAATAAAATAATTGGATAATGTCCGGAGTTGGTAAATCGTTAGGAAAAAAGAACATTGGGTTTGGTTTTTTCCTCCTCTTTTTGTGTTTGAAACTTTTGACCGTTCAAACTTTTGCCCCTCCAATACTTATCGTTTGAACCAAATAATTAAAATAAAAATAATTAAACATTGCATTATTGTTGTTGTTATTATTAGGACGGTGTGAGTTTAGGTTTTTAATGCAAACTTTTCGTAAGTTGGGTTTTTTTTGGACTCACCCTTATTATTATTATTATTATTATTATTATTATATGAGTCAGCAACTATCTTCAAATTCAACAATATTACCATTTCGTTTTGGTTTTTTTTTAGTAAAAACTATGTCAATTAATTTATATTTAGTGCATTATCTTAGAGCTAATTTTGAACTTCCAAATGTTAAAATATCATTATCTAAAGATGGGTTGTTGTTTTTTTTTCCTTTTTTTTGCATTTCGAATTACTAAGATTGAAATGTTTTGGACTGGTGAATAATATAACATTTTTTGCCTATGCCGATTGTTTATATTCAGATCCATCACTAATAACTTGTAAATAATTTATATTAAAATAACAGTGCGATGATTATTCATTCCAACTTCCCACAAACGTGTTTTCAGTTTTCCTAAATTTCACTAGTAAGGAAACAAAATTAATAAATCAAACAAAACCTATAATGTCAAAGTTCCCAACTTTATACTTCGGTTGGGGATTGGGTGGAAAATTCGACAAAAGATAAGGGTAGTTTTGTCATTTGTTACAGATACCGGGATATACCAAATAAGACCAGAGACCGAACCGGGCGAATAAAGAGAGACCCAAAAGAGTCAAACGTGTCGGAGGGAGAAGAGAATGGTACCCTTTTTTTTTTTTTGGTTTCAAAGTAAACACATTGCAGCGGCATCCATCCACCTTCGGCGTCTGTTATATAATTATAATGTGGACCGACCTGTCTTTTTCCTCCACCAAAAGCTATATCTCCTTAATAATGGAACCAAATAATTAGGAAAAAATCTTAAAAATTAAAACGGTAGAAAGAAATAATGGGGTTTTCTTTAGAATCATAAACGCATCATTAAAATTGGCCCAGAAAAAAAAAAGCATGCATACGGATGCACCTTTTTTTTTAATAACGGTGTAAAAAAGAATACCCAAAATATCATATATGGTTTTCAGTTTCGAGAGAAAAAAAAGCAAACGGAGGAGGATGTCCAAGTTTATTTAATTAATAAATATTATTAGAATATATTTTGCACAAACATAAAACAGTCGTCGTCCAATGCATTTGGATTTGAAATTGGCAAAACTTGACGACGCTTTCTCCCCCCCATTTCGATATTTTCATCAGTCAAAATACACGTTTTCCAATCTTTTAAGACCCTAATTTAAATTATTTTTTCTAATTAGGAAGGGTAGTGAAGATTGTGAGGTGTATTTACAAGCTAAATAACCACATTTAATTAATAACTATAATTAATTATTTTTTTATAACCGAATATCTAGAATCAAGATTAGACTGATCCTAAAATCCAAAACTAATTATATGATTTGGATTATAACTCTCTTTCGAACTCCACACTGAAATAAACATTTTAATTCAAATTTGTATCACAACTAATTAACTTGATCACCATACATAAAGGTATACTATTAAATAGTTTCACTGATTTTCCCCATGAACCAGGAATATTGGTTGCTCTTTTCTTGTAAGATATACTGCATGTATGACTCTATATATCTGCAACTACACTTACATTTAAAAAAAATAGGAATTCAAGATTACAAAGACGGGAAAAAAAAGGGTTCATCGCTTGGAGACTATGACAAGGAACAACATGGACATTGAGACCACGATCTTGAAACCCGAAGTTTCCCAGAAGTTGGGTCTCTCCGACGGGGGAGGCAGCTCTGATTCGTTCTGCCGTCTCTCCGACAACCGATCTCTCAGTTCTTTGATCGCCTTGTCCCTTCTCTCCCCCATCTGTTCCATTTTTAATCATATATCACAGAAATATTCTCAGCAACAAGGAAAAAAGTTTAATCCTTTGATTCAAGATTTGCTTGTTTATCGTGGGTTTGCATGATCATCTGGAGAAAACCCAGAAAAAGTATCTTGGATCATATAAATTTTGGATCTTGGCATGAGGGTTTGGTTCAAAATTAACTGTCGATCCAACTGAAACTGATAATGAAAGAATAGATCGAATGCAATACTCATGAACTTACTCTCTGCAGCTTCCTTGTCTGACTTCGAGCTTCCTGAAGGCAAAACTCCAGTTTCAGAACCTTCTTCTTCAACTCTTGATCCGCCCTTCTCTGTTTCTCCAGCTGTTTCCACGCAAATGTTTCGGTATATCAGTCAAAGGTCATACACGTAGTTTGAAATTTCACACACAAGCAATCACTTAGCAAAGCATAGGAACAAACAGATATGAACCTGTCCTTCAAGCTCCTTGGTCTTGAGCTTCCACTGAGCCGAAATGAACCTTATATCATCTTTCAGCTTCGAGATCTCTTCATCTTTCGTCGCCAAAATCTTGTTGATCCTCTCAAAGTTCTTTGGTGATACGCCTTCCAGGATTCTCCTAAGCTCACAGTCTGCATTCATCCCGGCCTTTGCAACAGCCTCTGTTATGTCGTTCTCGATTCTCAGAACTTCTTCTCTCAGCTGTTTTTGAGAGAATTCTCTGGCGTCCAGTTCACTCTGCAGATTATCGAGCTTATGTCCAAGCTGAGTTACACGATCTTCGTGGTCTCTAAGAGAAAGTGTTTTTTCGTCGAGTTGTTGCATAAGTGTTGAGCACTGCAATTGTGCAGATTGAGCAGAAGCAGCACTTGCTTCTGAGGTTTGATTGGTGATGGCAAGCTGTGATCTCAGATCATCCAATTCCTTAAGGAACTGTTTTGGATAAGAACATAATCAGAAATTCAGGGAAAAGATTTGCAGGTTAACAAAAATGAACAGCAGGATAGACCCGAAATCCAGAGGAAGCTTCCTGTAGGAACGATTATTCGATATGCTGACTATGTAGCTCATCAAACTATTCCATGTTCTAACATTTTGAAAATCTAGTTTGGTAACCTAACCAGATTATCTTAGTTGAAATTTAACAACTTTGAGATCGGAAGCATTGGCCCATTTCAGATTTTCTATCAACAATGAGATCTTATTCGAACATTTCATCACGAAAGTTAACTCTTTGAAAGGGTCAAACAGAAAAACAAACGGATCAAATGCCTGAAGATTCAGATATATCAAAGTCAAGATCTCACACTAAATGCCAGAAGTCTGATCTTTTATCAGTAATGTAATATAACTAAATGCCATTCTATGAACACAAAACTAAGCAGTGTTCTTCGTCTGAAATCAACCGTATATGCATCTTGATTGTGCAAAACCAGTGATCTCACAAAAAAAAACAAGTTGGAAACTTTAATCTCATTGATTGAATCGGAATCACATAGAAATTAGAAGGATTTGAGAGAGGAACCTTTTCAACAGCAGAGGCTGCAGCTTCAAGCTGACAATTTCTAGCTTCTAATTTCTTTTGCAATTTACAGATCTCCATTTCCATGTTCTTGGCCTTAGCTTCTGTTTCCTGGAAAAAAAAAAGAAAAAGAAAACCCAAAAACCAGAGATGAATTAAAATATCATTTCTGTCTGATTAAATTACAAAAAGAAACCCAGAAATTCAACATGCAAAACAAGAAGAATGGTCCCACCCGCCATGGAAACACCAAAATGAACAATAAAAAGGAGGAACCAATGATGATGATGATGATGATTCAAAATCCAATGGGCATAATAAATAAAGAACCCACCTTTCTACATAGCGTTTCTCTAACAAAGGATTGTTCTTGAGAAACCAAACGGACCTTTACTTGCTTCAGCTCCGCCGCCAGAGACACGACGTTTCGCCGGAAAGTCTCTTTCTTCTCATCCAAATCCTTCAACAGTGGATCCACCTTCGCTTTGTCGGAATCGGACATCTGGGTCGGATGATTCTCTCATCCAGAGGCCGCTCTTGATCTGTTTTTGGCTCTTGCATGCACAGAACAAATCCCTGAAATCTGAAGAGCAAAACCCAGAAACCCCAAAAAGAGGTTTTTCAGTGCATGTATGTGGGCATGGAAGTTGCGCATTTAATTCAGAAAAAATAAATGAACAAATCCAAAAACCATTACGGAAAACATCGGATAAGAGGAAAAGATCGCGACTTTACAGGATTTGGATTTGTGAGGAAGGGTTTCGGGAGCGATGACTTAAAGAGTTCAGAAGGAGCTGGATTTTCTTGGGCTCTCCATGTGTTTGTTCTAATTTTCTCGGGGAAATTTCGTCCGAGAAAATTACATCGCTTGTTATGGCATTGAAATCTAATAATTATTTATTTCCATTCCCACGATCCAGAGGAGAGAGAGAAACACGTAAGATGTGCTGCCTGAAATCAAATCAAATAAATGAATTGGCTTATTTGTCGAGACAGATAGAGACTTCTGGAGAGAGAGAGATAGAGAGAGAAATCACTGCTTGATCCATTAACTCACTCCAGATCTCGGAATTAAAACTCCATCCATTCAATTTTGAAACTGAGTAAAAAGAAAGAAAGAAACTTGAAATCACAACAAAGGAAAAACACTTCAAAAATCGAACTTTCTGCGGAAAAATCAAAACTTTCCCTCCAGATTCCTCGAGATTCGTGAATATTTAAATCCAAAATTAGAAAATAAAAAATACCTCGATGTGTTTTGACGAGAAGCGAATGAGCACGAAGGCGATACGATCAAGAAGAACAAGACGAGTGGGGGATGAAATGGGTGGCGAGAGCACCAGAGAATCCCACTCACTACCATTTCACAAACATGTTCCCAGAATCTAATGATATTATTAGTTGGAGAAAAATGTCAATTCAATATTTTAATATTAGCTTCAATTATACGACGACCAACTATGTTAATACTATAATCATATTGTTTTATTCTATCTTATCTAATTTGTGGTGTAAAATTGTGTTAATATCAATATAAAAATGATATATAGAAAACATTGTTTTTGTTAAAAATACCAATATGTAAAATCAAAATATAAACGGAATTTCCGAAAATCATAATATTCGCTTAATTGCGAGTACGTTAGACGAATTTAAGCATCGGGTGATATTATATAGAATGAGCATTAAAGCAAGTGCGACATCATATGGTTTAACGTTAATCTCAATATTATCATATTTTAATTATTTGATTTTTCAGATTTTGGCGACATGTCGACAAGAAGAAGAAAACCCGAAGCTGTATCCTTTGACCAACGAATAGAAAGTCGCCACGTGTCGACGATGTCTAATGACCTCATGGGCTTAAAATATTCTGCTGCGTTAAAGCCCGCGACAAAAAGCCTGTGAACTAATAACCAGGCCCATTACAGAAACGATGTCGTATTAGGCGTTGCCCAATTTTGGCTTTGAACATAAAACCTAATGTTGTAACGTACGGTCCAAGGAACATAACGTTTCGAGATTATCACCCGTTAATTGCTTTTAGACGTAATTGCTCGTGAACGTAAAAGTACATTATCGTTCATGAATATATGTTATACGTACAAATGGAAATAAGTCCATGCAGATAATGTATATTATACGTACGTGATGATGGACTGCCGAGATTGTGTACGGAATTATATTATCTTATTTTAAGGTGTAAATGGAATCAAGAGTTTGATGAAACTTTGACCCTAAAGGCAAATGCGGTTTGGTTCATATATGGGTCCAATCCAATCCAATGCTACATTAAAACACAAACACAAAGTGCCCCTCGACTTCTCTTTCTGCGTTGAGTTCTGTTGGTCGTGTATTAGATAGATACACCCAAAAAGGGTTTTTGGATTTTTGTCGTCAATGATAAGAGTGTTTTTTTTTGTTTGTATATAATTTCTGTAACATTTTCTCGCTTACAATTTTTCAATCACGTAATAATTATGGGTCCCTTTTTTCTACGTTTTTAGAAAACTAATTAGAAGATGGGCCATTTAGGTGGAATCAACGAAGTGATAGAGAGAGAGAGAGAGTGCAGGAGTGGTCCTTTAGGGACTCTTAAAGGCATACATATACGTGTATATATATGTATGTATATAAAAATACATGACCAAATCATTATACGTGCACCTTTCACTCGCAAGACTCGACGGGTTCGTTGTCAATGCTCATCTCTGGATGTTACAATCTTCAAACGTGTCGTCTCTTAAATGGAAACTCCACCCTTTGCCCTACAAACCATGTACTTGCCTTTTGGACCCCCCCAAAATTCCGATGCTCATGCACATACCAATATGACATGGACTAATAATCATTCACATTTTGTTTTAATTTTTTATACCATCAAAAACTATATATTGAAAAGGGAAATACAAAAAAATTATTAAACTACTAACTAAGCTAATAGAAAATAAAAATCTTATATGAATTAGTAAACTTTACCTTTAATTAACATACACATTCATGTGTTTGGTACTTGATTAAAAAAAAAGGGTAAATCCACATTCTCCATATTTTGTTACCCAAGCAATTTTGTGTATATAATGCAACTGTTATATACACAAAAATGATATGATATTATCATCAAATATAACATATATGTAACACCACTTTAATACTTTTAAATTATTCATCTAGTATAATAATATACAATAAAACAAAGGGTTATTTCATATGATTTTTTTTTGTTGGGAAAAAATTGTAAGAAAACGAAAAATATAAATCACATGCAACGCACTTCGAGGGAAAAGGGGAGTAGGGCCGTCGAGCACATGCATTTGCCTTTCTTTTCTCATTTCTCTTTCTCCCTATTTTCTCGGACTTTTTTTTTTGCCTTTTCTCCCAATCATTTTCCCGCGTTTGCGTTTCGATTTTATACGTTTGGCGTTTATAAACACAAATTAACACACCAAAAATAGCATATGTTGTATCGAGAACTTTTTCCAATGCTAAGTTTGAGAATGAAGTTCTCATGCTAAAACACGTTCGATTTGAAATAAATTTTGATCTGATTTTTTTTAATTATATTGGTGATCTGATTTGAAGTAATCTTCAGATAATTAAAATAGGTACGTTCTATTATTATTTGAATATTCATAGCTCTTCCATGCTTTAGAGTTAATGTGATGTTAGATCAATATATTAAATTAAAAAATATATTGCATTTATTGAAAGCGTCTTTAATTGTTATGCTACCTATTTTTACTAAAAATAGGGTACTTTTCAAAATATAAATTATAACTCAAATACGTTAATAAACTCATATCCAACTTAATAATACTAAACACAAACATAATCCGAACTCATTATGGTCGTGACTGCAATACAATCCAAAACCTTTTTGTTATCACAGGAAAAATAAATTTTATTTTAGGTCCAAATCGTAATAAAATTCAGAAGAAAAAAAAACAACGGAAAAAAGAAATCAACAAAAAAAAAATGAACAAACATTGAAAATCATCGGCTGAGTCAAACCGAGCCGAGCCGATCGAACGGCTGAGAATCGGCGAGAATCTCCGCCAAAGCCGTCATCGCTCGGACTTGCATCTCCAGAGCCGCGATATAATCTGCCGTCTCGTTCAGAAGCTCCGGCAACTCTGTTCTCCGGCAACCCGGAACCAGTCGGGCCAAAACCCGGAACCCGTTCTCCTCCTCCGCCCGATTCCTCCTCCCAACGCACCGCCTCTCCACCCCACGCGCCGCCGCACGAGCCGTCACCTTCGCCCTCCATCTCCGTCCGAGG